AGGACATAGTGCCCACTTTTCTTTACCATTTCTCTTCTCCCATTCTGCAATATTTGTTAGTTCTACCCCTGACTTTGTGTTCCCTTTGATTTTCCTTGTCATATTAACAGTTGATTATAATTAGGCCAGTTTTTCTGTGCTTCTTGTTTCTCTCTTAGAGATTGCTGTGGGCACAGCTTTTACTGTGACTAAGTTTATCTGCTCTCTATCATCCTTTGGACATGAAAACTGGCTCAAATCTCAGTTATTTTGTTGTTTTTGCTGTCCTATGGAGCTAGCTTACTGTTGCATTCTCCAAGATAGAAATATTCCTGAATCAATGCTTTTATGTTCCTTTTGTATGTATGCTTCAGTCTTCTTGAACCCACAGTCGACCTCTGCAGAAGTCAGCTTACAGTGAGCTTGGTTTCTCTGGAGGTTTCTTTTTGTTAAAAGGAATTATTCTTCTCCGCTGTCGCTGAAGGCATGCCCACGTAAGGGCTGCAGAGTCAACGACATGATGCAAGTGAACATCTCCTGTAAGTATGTTCTCAATCAGGAGAAGAGAATCCTGAAAGCCAGTGACTGGATGCAATCAGCTGGCTTTTTTTAGATAAAAATATTTTAATCAATCTGATAAAATTATCTCTTCAAAGAGAATAGAGAGGAAATGCTCTTAGGATTAATGCTTCATAAATAAACCGAATCTAAGTCCTACAATTGTTTTGTTTCCAATCTTATGAAAACACCTCTAAACTGCACTCTACAGCAGAAGAAAGCTAAACTAATCACATATCTAGTGTTAGCATTTTTCACTTCCAAGTATTTCATAAATAACAGATTGGGGAAAGGGTATTACTTTCCACACATTAAGCATTTACTTTAAAGTAGTACTTAATCAAGCCGGTGCGTATTTCAAAATCTTTAACAGAACTATCAGTATATGACAGCAAAGCTAATACAATATCTGCGCTGCAGTGTTTATTATCTAGGGGCAGTCATACTCCAACATCTACGAAGATAAGGACCAAAATGCAAGAAGCCTGGACAGAACCTTAAACCCCCCAAAATAAAAATTAAAAAATGGCGTATTCTTTACTGATTTATCCTGTAAATTTGACATGTTAATGTATCTAAGAGCTACAGAGTAGAATTTGTGCCCTGTTTCAAAGCAGCAGGGCAGGTCTGTTGGCAGACATGCACCACAAAGAGAGAGGTGGAGATAGGAGTGGTTCACTTCATACAATTAAATACTGAAAGTACTGAGAGCAAATATGTAAACATGAAACTACAAAACTTGTGTTACAATCAAGGTATTTAGCCTTTAACAAAAAACATCTGAACCAGAACATTTGTATACAAATAAACTGGAAGAGCCTGTTCTTCAAAAACAAAATATGGTCTAGTACTTCAACAGAAAAAAACCCAAAAAACTTTTACTTGGATAGCAACTAAAAGTCAGTAAATTACTGCTGAGTCTTTTATGGTTTTCTAAGAGGCGCATCATCTGACTCTCATATGAAAACTCTCATACCCTTTAGGTTTTTTTCTGTGGTTTATTGAGAAACTAAGAATAGATGGACTCGACAGAGTTCAAATTGTGACATAAAGACGTGAGAAAATGACACCAAAGTCAGCAATCTGTTTGCAGTATTTTTTGCAACTTGACCAAACAGCAGTTCTACTAAATTCGATAACCTTGGCTTCCTCTGCTCAGCTCTTGCTCAAAATCCTAAATATTCTGAGTGTCCAAACAGGAACTTGAGTAAGCTAATCACTCATCTTTGATGCTTTTATTTGCTATTCAGCCCTGGAAAGATGGAGCCAGCCTTCCTTCAACAAAAAATAAAATAAAACTGATAGTGGTCAGGAAGTCAAATCTGAACAGGACCATTTAAATCAAGATTTAAAATGTGTATTTAAGACATTACACAAATAGAATAAAGAGTTCCAGCTTATGTTTTAGTTTTTATATCTAAATGTTAAGCAAAGGTGACTTCTAGCCAATAAAAGCTGAATATTTTGCTTTTTATTTTAGATTTATTAATTAAAAGCTAAAAAAAAATCAGCTGCTAACTTCAGGATAGTCCTATGAAGGGATCTACTGAGGGAAGGACTGTTGTGAAGCAAAACAAACTGGCCTTTTTAATTAGATAAAACACCTGAATCACATATTTACTTAAGTTTGATCAGTTAAGCTTTAGGCAGCCTTCCCTACACATGTCCACCATCCATATGTTGTATAGACCAACAGTAATGTTCACAATGTTAAAGCTTTAAATCATTGTAAACAAACGACAGACCCAGACTAGACAGCAAGCTTGTGCTGTTTCTGATAATGTCAACAGGCTAGCAGGCTAACATTAGCATAACAAATTCCCTCTGGGTTCAAACAAAGCTCCCAAACTAATTCGGTGTATCTGCTTCACTGGCAATACAATGTTAGCATGAGTGGAAATGTAACCGTTAGAAGTTACAGACTCGAGATGTATGCTAACAAGCTAGCTGCTACCACTCCATTCAAAATCACACAAAGCCAAGGAGCTAAGCTAGAGCGGTTTGCGCCCAATTTTTGGTCCACAATCACCACAGGCGGCAACGTGTCAACTAACTCCACTGTCCTACACTTTCCGTCCGCAGTTGCTTCACCTTTTCCATAAAACTTTTTGCCGCTGGTGACGTCGAAAACTTTCATGTTCACGGCCATGAGGATGCGGGGGTTCTGGACACCGTCGTACTCCCGCAGCTGCTCCAATGTGAAGTCCCGTCTCCTCATCTTTGTAAGCATCGGGGCCTCGTCGCCATGGGCCCCGTCGGATACGAGCCGCCTGCCCCACCGCCGGTACACCGCCAGACAAACCGCAACAACCAGGATCAAAACGGTTATATTTAGGAACATTCCGCCCAAGCTGAGCCCGTCTGACTCCTCCGCCGCCCCCTGCCCGCCGTTTGTGTCAACTGGTCCGCTCGAACTGTCTCCATCGTCCGCCATGCTGCACAGTTTGCGCTTACCCGCCCCTGGCAAGCTGAGGCGTTCAGGTGCAGTCGGGAATAACAGTACCACTAGTTGAGTGAGCGTTCAAGTGTCGGAAACTAGTTCACCCAGACCAAGACCCCCAGAGACAGTTAAAAGGGCGGGATTATTCAAGACATAAACAATGAGAGTCTTCTCCGAGAATGTTGGTACAGAAGTCTGTCAAATATACGAAAAGTAATAAAGGGGAAAAAATGCGATTCGACAACTATAAAATTCTTGATAAATAAGAAAATATGAACATTTACTACAAACGACGAGGGAATAACAATGGCATCTGATTGAGGGGTTTATAGACTTTTGAATGTTGCATCTTATTTTTAGAGTGGCACCCAAAGATAGATTTAAATCTTATGGAAGCCCGTTTCCGCCACATGAAAGTAAAAAAAAAAAAAATCAAATGTAACATTTTAAATCACATTTACAAAGGTTATTCTTTGCTCAAAATTCTTTTTAAATGTTATTTTTTATTTAAGAAAATTTTTTTTTTAGCTTTACCCTCTCCATTTACCTTTTTTGTGGCCCTTCTGGTCCCTGAGCTCACTTTAACTGTTTGAATTAAGCTATTTATACTCAGATTTATGTATTTTAATTTTTATATCTCCATTTAGAAAAAGGATTTTTAAATAATTTCAGTAATTAATAGTGGATTAATACATATAATTTAAAATTCCCCTTTAATAATTCAATTTACAGTGCACAATTTCAAAATGCTTTTCACATTGGACTGTAAGTTGCAGTCCAATAAAGGGACTTTTTTAACCAGTTACAACACAAATATGAATCCAGGCCTTCCTTCAGTTTGGACACCTTTGCATGAATTCTTCCAAAGTTTCCATCAGACCCTAGACCAGTGACTGGAAGACTAAATCTCGCAGGTTACCAGTGACTACCTATACTTATAGCACTTTCTTTTCCAAGTCAGGAGACTTAATCAAAGCGCTTTACACTACATTCAGTCATTCATGCACATACTAAAATACATTACATTGTAGCCACAGCTGCCCTGGGGCTCACTGACAGGAGTGAGGCTGCCGCACACTGTTGCCCAAATAGTGACTCTTTACAGATGATTCGCTAATAAAACATTTTGTTTATAACATACTCAATTAAGGTAGATTTTTGGCTTTGAGACAGAGGCTGCTAAAAATGTTTTGGTTAGTCTGATGTTTAAGGTACGCAGCGATACAGTATATTTAAGCCCTGATTGTAATTCTCTATACTGCAACCCAGAGAAAGCTAATACCATAAAAGGTCTGTCTCTGTACTACAACTCTAGTGATTACATTTCTTTTATTTCTCGTATATTTTATATTGATACATTTTCATTTTAGCATTAAGTATGCATGTCATTTACCTGTCAGATTAAATCACTTAAAAAAAATCAGGTGTAATAAAATAAAAACTGTTGATGGCAGATTACAGATAACTTAAGTAATGTTTTGTGTTAAATTAGTTTAGTATTGTATTTTATACAATGAGAATTACAGGGCAGCCCATGTTTTTGTTTTCCACTATTTGGAGTGATGTTTAGTACAAATATATACATAGATATCTTTATTTAGAATGTTATTTTCCCCAATTTAAAAAAAAAAATGCATATTTAAAAGACCTGCTGAAATGTGTGAGACACGTTATAGCAGTAAGCCACTTTAATAAATAAATCAATTTATCTATATTATATATATGTCACATATATAAGGGAAGCAGGCAATCTTTGTTTGATTTGGTGTTTAGGTATCTTTCAACATTTTTTTCTTTTGTTTGCCCATCCTCCACTCGTTTTATAACATCACATCTCTGTTCATGGCATTTTTTGGGAGGTGGCATTTAATTTGAAGCCAGTCGAATGAGTAGTGAGTGAAGATGATCTGACTCGAATGATTTCACCGAGCCTTTGCTGGGAACAAAAAGCTGCTGATCAGGTTAGACGATTTGCCCTCAGCAACACTTTAAGGGGAAAAAAAGAGAAACCTTACCAAACAAGTTCATACAATCAGTTTTATTAATTTTTTTGTGCATTTTACAATTCAAGAACATGCAACTCTTAATCCTGAAACACTCAAACACGCTAATAATAAATCACTTCTTCAAATCAAATGAATATGGAATAGTAAATGATTTTTTTATAGTATTTACATTTTTTTTTATTCAACTCAAACCTTTTAATCCATAAGTAAAGGAAAGTTAACATTTAAAGTGCTCTAGAGCACCAAGCCTAAAACATAATGAAGTAAACTTTGAGCTAAAATATACTGTAGTTTTATGACACTAGCTAAAACCCATAATTCCAGCAGAAACATTTCATTTTGTATTATATTCAATGCACAGGCTAGTAAAAACAGCAATGATCACCTAAGACTATTACATGAATCAAGTCGATGGAAAATAAAAACAAAAATAAAACAATAAATTAAGCAATCTCTGGGTGTAAAAGGGGACATAAAGCTTCCCAGAAAAAAAAAATAAAAGGATGATTTCTGCAGCTTTAGAATTAAAAAAAGAAGCCTATTTTAGTTTGGATGTGATATGTTGCAGTCAGGCTGAGAAACATCAGGGGAGGGGCAGCATCTGGGTCAGTCCTTCACAAATCAATGATCGAACCTGATTGTCACCATGGAAATGGAAGATCTTGTCCAAGGAGGGGTGGAACCTGCGACTCCTTTCAACCCCAAACAAGGAAGACCTTTAGATATTAAACACTGTTGACATCATGATGGATAAGATTAAGGCACACATGACTATCTGCAGTATCTCTCATCTTGGCAAACTACAATCACAGTTCAACAGCGTCCTACAGAGCGGTTTACAGCGATCAACAGACCACAGAGTTTGGCATCTGAGAGATAAAAGGCAAAATGCGGGGAATGCATTTTTTTTTTTTTTTGTAAACGTTATGAGCTGTCGGGCAAACAAATTCAAGCTAACTGCCAACATTTGCTTCCTTTAAACTGAAATGCACTGATAAAAACAATCAGAATAAGTCAACCACGCTCAGGCCTCTTTAGATCCAAAAGGTTTGCTGCTGAAAAGAGCCAACAGTAACCTGAGAGCAGCTGCCGCCTCTCTTCACAAGCCTTGGAAGTTGAAGCTCTCACCAGGAGGAGGGAGCCTCATTTGTTGGGTGAAACTCCATCCTTTTTCACCGCTCTGCTGTCGGACTTTTTGCCAGGGTTAGTTGATGGCGCCGCTGTTTTCTTGGGGCCGTCTTTGGCTGAATTCTGTGCGGAGGAGGAGGCAGCAGCCTGAGAAGGAGCATTGGAGGATTTAGAGGCCTGCGTAGGCTTTGAGGTAGAGTTGGAAGGATGTCTGCGGCGCCTTCCATCATCCCCGGCCGAGGACGAGGGATATCTCTTCCTGCCTCCCTCTTCTCCTATGGGAGGCTGCAGACCAAAATTGCTTAAAATTTAGTTCCATACATTTTTTTTTTTGACAATAAAATTGTCTTCCCTGCATCTCTTGCTGTTTGCACAAACAGAACAAGAAACTCACCATCACCCTGAAATCCTCCAGGTTCTTGAACTTTGAGAGGTGCTCCTGCAGCTTTGGGTCAATAGGTTGGTTCTTTATCTTTGAATACTTCAGGAAGGCCCAGAACTTTTCCAGTCCATATAGCTGACCTATAGAAATAGAATAACTGGTAAAAATACAGCAGAGGAGATACTGTTTACGCTGGATGCAAACTGACTGTACTTTGGCTATACCTATAAACATTAGGATTATGTTTGGAAGTCACTGTATTGTGGTAAAATCTAACTAGGCTGAACATGATTTATCTCACATTATGCAGATTATGCAGACAACCATTATGAATTAAGCTACAAGTACAAACGGGTAGAGGGAATGCTGTAACCCTGATGGGAGCAATTTTTACAGCTTTGTCACACAGCTGATGGCAGGAAAAACATACGGCTTTAACACCAGAGTCCTTCATGTCTCAGGTTTGTGATTTCTTTAGCTTTTCCTCACATTGGCATCTTCCTCTGTAGATTTTTTTTTAAAGAAATATACTACTAGATCAATACAGATTACGCTAAAAAAAAACATCAAGTTCTTTATCTAAAACTATAAATTTACAGATCTCCAATGAGGAATTCAAAGTTTATGAATATTGTCCACTTAAGAAATTAAATAGAATCCCAGAAAACATTTGATTTTATATGGTCATGATAAGCCTCTTTGCCACTGAATATAATGAATAAGTGCGTGTTCAAAAAAACCCAAGCATTGTATAAGTTCCAAATATAAAGCCTGCATTTTATTTGAGTTTTTATTTTTGTGTTGCCATGTGGTTGAGTGTGTCAAACCGATTCTTTAACCAATGCTGCTTACCTTTCTCAAAGTCCCTCAGGGTCTCCTCCTGAAAGTCTTTGAACAGATCCAGCTTGAATCTCCTCTCCAAACCATAACTGTAGTATCTGAAGAGGCATTCCAATCCATACCTGCCAGAGGAAAAAACAAAAACAAAACTAGAAAAAGCTGTTTCGGAGAAACATCAAAGTGGGAATGCTTTTGCTGAATGAAAAAAGCTGAAATTAACTGCAGAACATATAAAAATGTGATAGGAAGTCATCAGAAACTTCAAACTGCAGAAAACAATTGAATCATCTGAAGATTTTGTAGGGTAGAATCATCTGGCAGTAAAATGGCAGAAACAAACTCATCTTAAAAGCTGCACAGTCAAACCATACATGATATCAAAAATATTGATCAGCATAAAGAAAACAGTGTCATCATTTGAGGATTGAAAATCTACAAACCTATGTGCAAGACTAACCATGAGAAGCAGAGGAAGGACAGAGAGAGAAGCTTATAGAAAGAGAGCTAATACCACTTAAGGAGCTGAATTTATAAAAAAAAAAACTAACCTGCATGTTACGAGCCGCTGTGGTGATGAAAGCACCGTTGGCAGGCTTAGGCTGCATGTTACGAGGTTAGCAGATGCTTTATTACAGTGTAAATCTTAGAACCTGATTAAGAAATATGCACTGAGGTGTGTGGTCAACAGGCCTTGGTAGTGTAATTTGAAGAAATTGGTTGAGTTTGGGTCATAGCTACGAGCCATACGGCACAATGAATGAGTGTGTGTAAGGAAGAGGCTTTTATTTTGTAGAGTCCCTTTAGTCTTATTTTGAAAGTCTATCATGGATGTGTGTCAAGGGAAGGGTCATGCCCAGCAGTGATATAGAATCCATTTCTAAATATGAAATCACTGGTTTTCCATGTTATTGGGTGAATAGATGCTGTATTAGAGCGTAAATGGGAGACTTTTATTGTGAAATTTGCTCTGGGGTATGTTTTGAAAAGGTCCCTAGAGTCTAATAGAAACAAGCTGGTAGAGTTTGGGTCATAATGCTGAGCCATTTGCATCAATTAATACACGAGTATAATATAGAGGCTTTTATTTTGTAGGGTCACTGGAGTCTTATTTTGAAAGTCTAGCAGGGTTGTGTGTTGAGAAAAGGGTCAGACCCAGCAGTGATACTTGATGACTTTCCAATCGTTAAATCACTCTTTTCCCTTGTTATTAGGGCAGTAGATAAAGTGGCAATGGGAGGCTTTTATTTTGAAATTTGCTGTGGGGTGTGTTTTGAAAACCCCCTAGAGTCTAATTTTAAAAAAGTGGTTGAGTTTGGGTCATAATGTTGAGCCATATGCTGGGAAAAAAATATGAGTTTAATGTAGGGGCTTTTATTTTGAAGGGTCCCCGGAGTCTTATTTTGAAAGTCTATCAGGGTTGCGTGTGAAGGGAAGGGTCATGGCCAGTAGTCATATTGTATCCACTTCCTAATGTTAAATCAGTGTTGTCTCCCTCCATTAGATTAAAATGTGCTGTTTAAAGTGGTGGAGGTAAAATCTCTTTGAAGCACGGTTACCTTGACGACGTTAACGAGCCTGTCAGTGACAGAGAGACATGCGCATCACTTTCGTTCCTTAGTTCTCAGGCTTTTTTGAATGGGATTATCAGCTCCGAACAAACGAGTGCTGAAGACAAACCGTAAATGGTATCTAAAAAATTCTTTCAGTCTAAGCGACAGCTATCCTTTGTCTCCAATTGGGGTAACTTTCATGGATGTAGCTCATTCACAACCTTAATGGGAAGGAGGAATATAAAGGTTTGAGAAATCCTGCTGGTCTCATTGAATAACATGCAGCACAATGGTAGAGCAGAACTCTCAAAAGCAAAACTTTCCCTCCGAACAAACGAGCGGTGAGCCAAAACCGTATTAGGTATTCAAAAAATTCTTTCACCGTGAGCGTCAGCCATCTTTGGACTACAACTGGTGTAACTTTCATATTTCTACAATATTTCGTCTAGGCGTGGTGACGATGTAAAAAAGTGTATAATTGTCAAAATCTTGATTTTGGGGTTCGGACAGATTTGTTACCCCCGAACAAACCTTGTTCCTAGCTAAACGATAAAAGATATCGACACACTTCCTTCAATGTGAGTGCTAGGAAGGTCTGAGGAACAACTTCCACAAGGCTCATGTTGCTACGTCGAACGGTTCCCGAATGGGAGCGATACGAAAAAGTCTGTTTTTTTTTATTTTCAGTTCGGATTTTCAGAGAGCTCTCATTGGCTTTCTATTGGGGAAGTGTGGACTTCTTCGTGGTCTGGGCCAAACTGTCGGAAAACCGTAAATGCCACACAAATGAGGGTTACATTTCCTGAATCCTGACAAAAATCCCTACGTTTTGATGTATAATTTATTTCAATTGAGTGAAAAATGACAGAGTGAGAACAATTTGTTCGGAAAAACCAGAACAGCTCAAAAGCTAGAGCACGCACTCTGACAGTTGAAGAATTCCGTCCATAGACTTCCATTATAAATCTGAAAATCGTTAAAATTTCTTTTAAAGTTTGAAGCTTCACTAAAGCAAAACTATAAAAGTCAGAAAAAAGCTGAGTTAAACAGTAATAGTAGAAAGATACAGAAACATTTTAAAAGTTGAATGGTGTTTCTAGCTGAAAGTATGCTGAAGTAGTTAAAGCTCAAAGTAGTTGAAGTTTTAGCTGAATTTTGCTGAAATCTGAGAATTCTACATGCATTTCAATGGGGCCAAAAATCGCACAAAAAGCTGAATATCGCGAAAACTACAAGAAATATCTTTACCAAAAGATATAGCATCATTCTCCTGAAGAAGCTGAACGTTTTGATACCAAATTTGTTGAAGTGGGCTGAAAACTGTTGAAGTAGTTTAACGACCAAAAACGTACGGAATAATAATAATAACTAGAAAAAGCTGTTTCGCAGAAACAGCAAAGTGGGAATGCTTTTTTTGCTGAACAAAATAATAAAAATTTGCAAAAGAAACTGCAAGAAGGAAAAGAAGCACAAATTAACTGAGGAACATATGAACATGTGATAGGAAGTCTTCAGAAACTTCAAACTGCAGAAAACATTTGAATCATCTGAAGATTTTGTAGGGTAGAATCATTTGGCAGCAAAATGGCAGAAACAGACTCATCTTAAAAGCTGCAGAGCCAAACCATACATGATATCAAAAAATGTCTTAAATGTGGTCACTAGAAGGGTCTAAATGTAATGTCTCCCAAGTTTCTAGAAAAAGTTCTAAAGAAATTTTTAAGGGGGGGCACCTACTTTCCAGAAACATGTCAGGCGTGTTATGAATTAGCAGCAAACAGAAAAGCTTAATTCCTGTCCAGAAAGAGAGCAGAATGAAGCCAACGTTCACAACATAGGCTGAAAAGTATGAAATTAGCTGAATTAGAAAAGAAATTAAAAAGAAAAACTTGAATCTTATCTGGTTGAAGAAAAAAGTAGTAGCTTAATGATGGGAAATAAAATGTAGAGGAAGATGCTATTGAATAAGTATCAACATTTTGAAATCATATGTGGAAATGTCAAGACTTGGCAAAAAAAATTGAAATGATTTAAAATGTGTTGGTTTATCAGCATAGAGAAAACAGTGTCATCCTTAGAGGATTGAAAATCTAAAAACCTATGTGCAAGACTGACCATGAGAAGCAGAGTAAGGATAGAGAGAGAAGCTTATAGAAAGAGAGCCAATACCACTTAAGGAGCTGAATTTATCAAAAAAACTTAGGCTGCATGTTACGAGGTTAGCAGATGCTTTATTACAGTGTAAATCTTAGAACCTGATTAAGAAATATGCACTGAGGTGTGTGGTCAACAGGCCTTGGTAGTGTATTTTGAAGAAATTGGTTGAGTTTGGGTCATAGCTACGAGCCATACGGCACAATGAATGAGTGTGTGTAAGGAAGAGGCTTTTATTTTGTAGAGTTCCTTTAGTCTTATTTCAAAAGTCCATCATGTATGTGTGTCAAGGGAAGGGTCAAGCCCAGCAGTGATATAGCATCCATTTCTAAATATGAAATCACTGGTTTTCCATGTTATTGGGTGAATAGATGCTGTATTAGAGCGTAAATGGGAGACTTTTATTGTGAAATTCACTCTGGGGCATGTTTTGAAAAGGTTCCTAGAGTCTAATAGAAACAAGCTGGTAGAGTTTGGGTCATAATGCTGAGCCATTTGCATCAATTACTGCACGAGTATAACATAGAGGCTTTTATTTTGTAGGGTCACTGGAGTCTTATTTTGAAAGTCTAGCAGGGTTGTGTGTTGAGAAAAAGGGTCAGACCCAGCAATGATACTTGATGACTTTCCAATCATTAAATCACTCTTTTCCACTGTTATTAGGACAGGAGATGAAGTGGCAGTGGGAGGCTTTTATTTTGAAATTTGCTATGGGGTGTGTTTTGAAAAACCCCTAGAGTCTCATTTTTAAAAATGTGGTTGAGTTTGGGTCATAATGTTGAGCCATATGCTGGGAAAAAAATATGAGTTTAATGTAGGGGCTTTTATTTTGAAGGGTCCCCGGAGTCTTATTTTGAAAGTCTATCAGGGTTGCGTGTGAAGGGAAGGGTCATGGCCAGTAGTCATATTGTATCCACTTCCTAATGTTAAATCAGTGTTGTCTCCCTCCATTAGATTAAAATGTGCTGTTTAAAGTGGTGGAGGTAAAATCTCTTTGAAGCACGGTTACCTTGACGACGTTAACGAGCCTGTCAGTGACAGAGAGACATGCGCTTCACTTTCGTTCCTTTCCTCTCAGGCTTTTTTGAATGGGAATATCAGCTCCGAACAAACGAGTGCTGAAGACAAACCGTAAATGGTATCTAAAAAATTCTTTCAGTCTAAGCGAGAGCTATCCTTTGTCTCCAATTGGGGTAACTTTCATGGATGTAGCTCATTCACAACCTTAATGGGAAGGAGGAATATAAAGGTTTGAGGGTCCTGCTGGTCTCATTGAATAACATGCAGCACAATGGTAGAGCAGAACTCTCAAAAGCAAAACTTTCCCTCCGAACAAACGAGCGGTGAGCCAAAACCGTATTAGGTATTCAAAAACTTCTTTCACCGTGAGCGTCAGCCATCTTTGGACTACAACTGGT